CCCACCCCCACTGATTGGGTTGCGACATAAAACTTGTAACTGCTGTAATTTTATTCTACAGGGTCTCTGCCTGATGTCAGTCAGAGCTTTGAGTGGGTGGGGGAAACTGTGTTGACACCAAGCACAGGTTCATCACTAGTCACCACCTTCAGCATGGGTCAAATGGCTGCTGGGCCCGAGCACTTCATCATGGGAGAAGGTCACAGGCTCCTCCAAACCTTGAAGCACTGGGTAATGTGCAGTGGCAGCCATTGCTGGGGAGAGGAGTAGAACGTGCTCAGGGGAGAGGAGTAGAACGTGCTCAGGGGAGAGGAGTAGAACGTGCTCAGGGGAGAGGAGTAGAACGTGCTCATTTCCACTCACCTCATAGTTCTAGCCGACCTGTGACAATTAGACTGTCACAGGTCGGCTCAGTAGATCGGGAGGTGAGCGAACCGGGTTCGCTCCCCTCTCGATCCTGTCACGGCTCTATGCTGTGACAGGGGGAGGGGCTGGATTCCCCTCTCCCCGCTCTGATCTGCCAGTGCTGACTGGTGGAACGGACGGGGGAGGGGGCGGGTACAGCTGGCTCTGCCTCTAGATAGGCAGAGCCAGCTGTCACTCACGCAGCTGGGCGGATCTCGACGTCCATGTCGGGATCCTCTACGGCGTCTCAGTATACAGCTCGCGGTATACTGAGCTTAGGGTGACGGGAGGACGCTAGTTTGTGTCCTCCCATTACCCTAAGGAGAACTATGGGGAAAAACACTGACCCCATAGTTCTCCTTTAAGAATAAAGAACATATAAACCAAATTACTAAAATCTCAAAAAAAGCTTTATTATTAATTACTAATGTCTTTTGAAACTTTTATTAAAATAACAGCCTGGCAATCCTGCCATGTTTAAACTTCTCCTGTTATAAGCTGACAACACACTGTCTCAGTCTCCCCATAGTACTCCCGCAGTGTCACTTCGTCACACGGCCTTCCCATGGAGACTACAACTGTCCGTTTCAACACAAGTAATCTACTGTTGTCATCAGGAAACTTAACCTGAGAAGTGACAAGCAGCAAGTGTTGGTGCATGCATGCAGACAGGAAGTGGCTGTATAGAAACTGCAGGGAAGCAGCAGTGCTGGTATGTTACAAATGACTTGGCCATGTCCTGCATAGTGCAGTAGACAGTTCAATCCTAGAGATCACAGAGGGAGAGGAGCTCTCACTACAGTGACCCTGACCTAGATCAGAATAGCGCAGCTGACAGAGTGACTGTGAAGCCCCACAGATTACACCGGGAGAGCCGCTCTCTCACACTATAATCTTCAGGGCTGAGCTCTCGGTGTGACTGCGGAGTCCTGCTTTTTATTGATTTATGAATGAAGGCTGTGGTTGCATGATTTATTCATTATTTAATGTTATAGCTAAATTAAAGCAGAACTCGTTAAAGCACACAAATCAAATCTTAACCCTAGACTGCAAGGGTTAAGTGCTCATTTTGTCTAGGGAGCTAAAATAATAAGTTTATACTCACCCGGACTGCGATCCCAGCTGGCTCCTACACTGCTCCCTCCAGTGACGGTATGTCCCTCGGTGTCCTCACGTCCAATACACTGTATTGAATGTGATGACTCGCAGGACCTTAGACCGCTGGAGTGGAGGGGGAGTGAGGCTGAAGGGGCCAGACTAGGAGCCAGCCAGGATTGCGGTTCAGGTAAGTAGAACTTTGTTATTTTAGCTCCCTAGACAAAACGAGCAATTAACCCTTGCAGTGTGGGGTTAGCCCTACTGCAAGGATTAAGATTTGATTTGCCCAGAGTTCTGCTTTAAAAATCCTATCCCCTCAGCTACCCTAGTTTCACCCTCTTCTTGCCCTAGCGATTCTTTTTATATTTTTACAGTTCATGTGTAAAGTTTCAGTAAATGTGTGTTTGTAGCATTGCTTTAGAAATGCTTTGTAGCAGGAACCTAGTTGTAATGTCTTCCATAAAAAGGGACCAATTGCAGAATATCACTTGCACTTTTGAGGAGTTAGCGTCTGCTTTCCTTCCCAGATGGAAGAACAGATTTTGCTTATGATGATGGTAATGAACGTTTGATGCTGATTGTGACAAAATCACGCTGGTTTAACCCCATTGCATCAACTTGAATCATCCCATTCACATTTCATGGACCACATAAAGGTGGCAACCCCCCGGGGACAGCAGACAGCGGCTGTAATTCATGCACCCTGCGACAGCCCATCGACTGCACATGCCATCTGTGCCTTGGGTGTCAGAGAACCATGTCCCAGCAGTAAGTGACTTACTTGTATGGGGTTTGTAGAACACATATGGTTAATAGTGAAACAAGGATCACAATAAACTCTAGCTTACAATCACTCTCAGACGAATAGCTAAGTACTTGACACCCCATAACACTAAATAAAAAATATAACACATGATCAATGCAATAACTGTGCTCTATACCAGGACAGAGCAGATTGTTTAGCCTCCAGCAGCATTATTATCATTATGTACATACAAAGTGTACACCATTGTCCTCTATAATCCTCTGTATTCATTAAAATGTCATCTGTATGTCACAAACTCCTGCAAAAATAAACTTGTGACTCACAAACAATAATCCTCATCTTGTGTGATCTCTGGAGTTTAGTGTAGAATGAAAAGCTGACCAATCCCAGAGTGAGCCAGACCCCCTCTCTGCTTACCTAGATTGCACGATGAAGAGTTGGCATTGTCGCAGGAAGGCTGATGGCTCCTGATCTCCGCTCTGGGTGTTGCCCTCAGGCTCCTTGTTGACCAGGCTGAGCCATCGTGTGACAGCCGCAGCACTCCCTCCACTCCACATTGAACAATGACAAGTGCACAACACACAGCGCAGAGCCTCTTCCTGGGCGTCTATGGAAGGCGGCCTCCCATTGGCTGAGCCGCACCGGCCTGCAGAGGAACACTTGTACAGAGGATCCTGATTGGCTGATCTCTTCGCCCCCTCCCAGCGCCCCTAGGCTTCCTGTCAATCGCTGCTGGGGGATGTATAGGCGACGCTGTGTATGATCTGTATGGACTGGCCGGGTCCTGATCATCATGTGCGGACACTATGGAATATTCCATTCGTTCTGATGATTGCATGGATCATGAACTACAAAGGCAGCACTGCCTGACAACAATATCCATCACTTTAATGGCTTTCCGTGCATTATTCATGTGATGAGCTTCAATTGGCTTCGTGCTGACAGGGATATGGACACGATGGATGATGTACTATAAACTATATACACTAATCTGTCACTGTGACACAGGCAAACAGCTTGGATCGGAGCCAACTATTTTAATGGACAAATATTGTATATATATATTAGAGATGCACCGAAATTGCATTGATAGACTGAAACCAAAAATAAAAATGTCAGGCCGAAAACGACTATTTTTTCCCAACCTTTTTAAAATGTTTGAAATTATTTTTTCATTATTTTTTTACTTTACAGTCGGGGGCTGTAGGGAAATATTGGGGGTCTAAACAGACCCCTGATATTTCCCTTTTAAAATACAAAAAGAGATTGAGGACACAGAGTCCTAAACCTCTTCCTGCTGCCCCTGTTATGAATGAACAGGAATCCTCTATACTGAGTGTTTCTGTCCATTCATAAACTGTGGAGATAGTATCAGTTATTATGTCCACAATCATGAATGAACAGGAAGTGATGTATAGCACTTCCTGTTCATTCATAATTGGGGACACAGTAATCATACTATGCCCACAGTTATTTACAAACACTCAGAGATCAGTCATGATGCTGAGCACTTGTACTCTGCTCTCCATCCCGACTCACCTGTCACAGGAGGTCGAGTTGGGCCCCACTCTCCATCCTGACAGCTTCTTTCCTTTCCACTGGATGCCGGTTTGACCCTCGGATCCCCGCTGCCTCTGCCGACAAAGGCAGGGGAGAGCAGCAGGCATTGGAGGGGAGGAAAGAAGCTAGGGATGTACTGAATTTTCAGGCGCTATGGTACTATCAACATTTTGCCCGTTCTACTATTTTCAGCGAAATGTCAGTGCATCCCTGAGGCCCCATTCACACTGAGCGACACTTACCTCAAGCGGATTTCCGTGCGGTCGGGATAGCGCGACCTTCACCGTCGAGTGGCATGCAAAAAGAGAAAAATCGTGCGTCATCCGCGGAAAAAAGGGCCCTGCACGAGTGATGCGCGACAGGCGACATGGAGCTGTAAAATAGAACAGCTCCATTGAAAATCATTGGACGAGCGACTTCTCACGATATCGCGCTGCAAATATGCGCGGAATCGCGCGATTAAATGCTCAGTGTGAATGGGCACTTATATATAAATATTACTGATGCCAAGTAGTCGATTCAGCATTAGAGGTTTCCCTTTCTTAAAGTAGAATTAAATTAAAAACCCAAAAACATTTTTCATGTGGGGTTATAACTCCTGTCAGTTTATATTTTGTCATCTGTGTCCCATTTGGGAGATTTCACTTCCTGCCCCATAGCTGACACAGGAAGCGAGAGGCAATTCCTCCAAATTGAGGGAAATCTGTGTTGTCACCAGAGCCAGTGTCCTCATTGGAAGATCTCCGCTCTATTTCTGTTCTGGTGCCAACACAAGATGTGGGATTTTCTTCCACGTTGACTCTGATGGAAATCTGTGTTGTCACCAGATCTAGTGTCCCATTTGGGAGATTTCACTTCCTGTCTGATAGCCACAACAGGAATTGAGAGGAAATTCCTCCAAAGTGAGGGAAATCTATGTTGTCACCAGAGCTAGTGTCCCATTTGGGAGATTTCACTTCCTGTCCCATAGCTGACACAGGAAGCGAGAGGCAATTCCTCCAAAGTGAGGGAAATCTGTGTTGTCACCAGAGCCAATGTCCCCATTGGAAAATTACCCCTCTATTTCTGTTCTGGTGCCAACACAAGATGTGAGATTTTCTTCCACGTTGACTCTGATGGAAATCTGTGTTGTCACCAGATCTAGTGTCCCATTTGGGAGATTTCACTTCCTGTCTGATAGCCACAACAGGAATTGAGAGGAAATTCCTCCAAAGTGAGGGAAATCTGTGTTGTCACCAGAGTCAGTGTCCCCATTGGAAGATCTCCCCTCTATTTCTGTTCTGGTGCCAACACAAGATGTGGGATTTTCTTTCACGTTGACTCTTGGTGATAACAGTCACCAGGACTAAAAAGAGGGTGAATATCCATACAGGGTACATAGTTTGCAATACAAACCTGACCCATGTTCTAATCCCTCTCCAATCTATTCAGTACTAAAAAATAAAAACAAGTTTTGTCTTCAGCTCTACTTTACCCCCAGGATTTATCCCTCGGGACTGCTCTGAGCCTTGGGGACATGCAGTACATTTAAAGCAGTGACAGGACTTAGTTTTACATGACATATTAAAGGAGAACTAAACAGAACACATAAAGTAAACAGCATTACATTATTTCCTTCTGTTAAATGAAGTCAGTGTTTATGTTTATGTTTTGTCTTCCTGAACTGTGCACTTCCTCTAGTTTTCATCTACATTCACACTGGGTAACTTGGGATTCCTGCGGCAGGAATCCCAGATGTCTCGTTTCGATGCGGTTCCTGTACCCGTGCAAGTGACAGCAGCCGCATCTGTAAGTGGAAGTCCACATGTAATTGTATGCAGTGTGGAATAGATCACTGTTACTGGGCTCATTCACACATAGCCTGTGGGCACCTAGGCCGGGGTCAGTATGTATTAGGGTTGCCACCTGTCCAGGATTCACCCGGACAGTCCGGGTTTTGAATGCTGTGTCCGGGTTTCATGGCAGCTGGAACCCGGACACAAGATGTCAGGCAGACAGGGGCGACCAAAATCAGGATAGGGGCTACTGGCCCCCCACTGAAAATAGTTTTGACTGTGATATGTACATATGAACGGGTGGCACTATTTACATATAATTAAGCCACAACTCATTCTCCCCAAAAAAGGTCTCCACGCCCCTAGAGTGTTCGGGTTTTGCTTGAAGAAAAGGTGGCAACCCCCGTATGTACCCAGGGCTGGATTTCCCACAAGGCCCAGCCTCGGGGCAGCAGGGAGTAGAGAGGCAGCAGGGGTGTGGAATTCCCATCTCCCGATGCCCAGGACATGTAGTTCCAGGCACCCGGCGGGTAGTTGTTTTCTACATTTAGCACTGCTTTCGGCAAGCAGAACTAAGTGTACAGCGGGGAAGCCACCACTTGTTTTGTACATGTGATGTCGCCGAGATCACTTGTATGCAGCCTGCAGGTCTGCCATTCTCCATTAGGTGGGGGGGGTTTGGCGGGTAGAGGGGCGCATTGAGGAACCTGGCCTTGGGGCAGGAGAGAGAGAGTAAATACGGCCCGACTAGGGCAGTTACGACTGTGATATTATGCTACACTAGCACAAAATTGCTGAAAGTTATGGGGGGGGGGCAAACCCTTTTTTTTCCTGAGAGGCGAAGCAAGTCAGAAGGCAGACACATACTGTGGTGCTTGATCTTTATATAAATCATATTGCCCTGGGAATGCTTTATATTAAATGCATATTTGTAAAACAAGAATTGTGTCTGTGTATGTGTGTAGCAGTTTTTACTGACAGCTGCTAAGTAATTCTGTTCAACCACTTTTTTTTTTTTTGCATCTTCCTGGACAGGGCTCTTCTATGAAAGATAGTAACACTAATCATGACACCCTGGCTGACATTTTGTATCAGAGTTCTGCAGGGTTTTGCTGCAAACGTAGGTGTAGCTGGCCTCTGCTTGGCCCTGGAACCCTTGGGCCTGCCCAGTATGGATACGGCATGGCATGATGACATGGTCAAGTAAAGAGATGCTGGCTTCAGTGCTTCCTTTAGATGACACTACCTATATTGCAAAACAAAACAGGTATATTTTACGAATTTCTTGTGTTCCTATTAAGTCCAGTTCATCTATTATTTGTCCATTTTTCAGGTCATAAATGACCCTTACTAGCTTTTATCACATAGGTTCAAACCATGCAATTGTGTTTCAGTTTGTGGGGAGGGCGCCATCTTGTGGCTTTGAAATGAAAGTGATCTCCCAAGAGTATTATTTCTGCAACTACAATAGCATTATGCTTGTTTATTGTCAGGAAGCAGGACCAAGACTTTAGATGTAAAGATGATCAATCTGCCTGATTTGTTCTGCATTTCATTCCACAGAGTGATAATAAGGCACAATTAATGAATGTTCCCATAATGGCTTTTGAAAAATGTCAGCATTTGACAGAGAAAAAGATGTTCCATACTGAGCTACCTTAAAAGTATTTTGTAAACAAATCTGGAAAGGTGTGCAGAGGAAAATATGGGCGCAAAGTATATTTTGGTAAGACAATTGTTGAATTGCTTTCTTGCCAATTTCCTTTTTTTGCCAGGTGTTGTACTGGCAACGTTGGCATATAAGAAGCTCACAGTTATTTTCTTTGGAATGGTAGCATCTTGTACCACCAGCAGAGACGGTGATAGCGAATAAGAAAACAGAAATCCTTCCCTTTATTTGACAGTTGAACATATTATTAAGGGGTAACCTGTGTGGACCCAGGTATGAGTGGGACACACTACATTCCTATATTGGTTCACATGGCCCATAGATGTGATGATAATTGTTGTACTCTAGGCTGTCTGCCAATTGGCTATGTATGGCTGAGACCATACATCCCACATCCATACACCAAGGGTTCTTCAAAACTGCCGATCAGTACTTACAGGTCATGGCAACCAGATAGGTGAACTGCGGTTTACTCATTTCTTAATGGATGATTACATTATTATGACTCTCTTTGTGAAAGACACAGCCCTGCCTGGGACACCACAGGGGTGGGGTGGGACCCATTCTTGGCCTTCTACCCACCTTCTC